CTGTCTGTCTGTCTCTCTCTCTCTCTCTCTCTCTCTCTCTCTCTCTCTCTTTTTCTTTCTCTCCGTCTGTCTTCGATCGAAAAACAATTATTTTTTCGCTACAAGATAAAAATAGAAAGAGAAAGATATGGGGGAAATAAAATGGAATACCGAAAAGTGGTCAGGAAGAACGACTAGAACTTTTTGTATATATATATATATATATATATATATATATATATATATATATAAAATTGAAAACTCCCCTATAGGAATTTTTCTATGTGGTACTTTTAGAAGTAGAGAAAATTTATTTTTATCGGCCTCGATCGTCGTCTCGATTTCTTCGATCGTACTATTTCTCGAAGAAAAACGTTGAAGTCCCAAAGAAGAAGAAGAAGAAGAAGAAGAAGAAGAAGAAGAAGAAGAAGAAGAAGAAGAAGAAGTAGAAGAAGAAGAAGAAGAAGTAAAAGAAGAAGAAGGAGGAGAAGAAGAAGAAGGAGGAGAAGAAGAAGAAGGAGGAGGAGGAGGAGAAGGAGGAGGACGTCGAGGTGCAATTTTATAAATACTTTACTACATAGAGGGCCAAGACACCCCAAAGCCACCCACCAACCAATATCCCTCGCTACCCCGTAGAAAATCGTTCTCGCCTGGGGAGACCACTTCAACATCGATCTTCTTAATTCTCCTTAGACTCTGCTACGTGCGATTTGAAATTTTAACCTTTTGGAAATACCTTTTTACTCGCCTGTCTTCTCCCTTGACAATTTGTTGTTGTTTTGTTTGTTTGTTTTCGTAAAGGCTAACTTTATCGGGAGAAACTTTTTTTTCTTCTTTCCTCCTTTTTTTTTTTGTATATTATTTACAAGGCTCGGCCATTAGCACCAAGAGAGAAAGAGAGAGAGAGAGAGAGAGAGAGAGAGTGAGATAGACAAACAGAGAGAAAGAGAGATAGAGAGAAAGATAAAGAAAGAGAGAGAAGGAACAGATCGGACCAATTAACAAAGGAGAAATAGGAAAATTTCCATAACGAAGCTTTGCAAGGCCATGCACAACTATGTACGGCTCGGTCACTGTTTTAATCGCGAATAATAGACGTCTCTTCGGCCGACGTTAATTCCCCCCCTCTCTTTCTACTCCTCTCTCACTAATTCTCTCTCTCTCTCTCACTCTCCTCCTCTTCTTCCTCTTTCTCCTCATCTACCTCACCCTTCCGGACTACGGCTTCCGTGTTGCTATTATACACGCTCGCGAGAACGTTCGCTGTAGTCGCTTTGGGACAGATTCATATAATTGAATTCGGTTCACTGAGCTTCGCTTGCTCGTTCCTGGAAGCCTCTTGCTCTGTTGCTCCCACTACACTAGGATCCCCACGAACGAAACAACACTATCTATATATCTAGTAAGCGGTATAGTTTTCAGCTGAACCATTGAGGCTAACGAGAGTATAACGAGCTACGATGACGACGACGACGACGACGACGACGACGACGACAACGACAACAACGATGAAGACGATGATGATCACGACGACGAAGACGACGACAAAAACAAAGACGAAGACGAAAACGAAAACGAAGACGAAGACGAAGACGAAGACGAAGACGACGCTAGAAGGAGTAAAGAGATATCGCTAGACATCTTTCTAAATGTCATTAGACATCTTTAGATATCACTAGACATCTCTAGATATCACTAGATTCGACTAGTCTGATTTACTTCAACGATGTTAGAAAATATTAGAGTATATCGAACTTAACATAAACTAATAGTATATTATGATACATAGTTGTTGTTGTTGTTGTTGTTATTGTTGTCGTCTTTGTTATGCTATCTATCTATAATAACAGTAACAGTACCAGTAGTAGTAGTAGTACTAGTAGTAGTAGTAGTAGTAGTAGTAGTAGTAGTAGTAGTAGTAGTAGTAGTAGTAGTATGTGACAATGATAGAGGTTGTCGTCGTCGTAGAGTAAAGTAGAGAGACAGCCGACAAAGAAGGATCTCAGAGGGAGAACGCGTTCAACCAACGATGTCAGACCGATCCGTTTGTCCGTGAAAAGAGATGATCCGGTTCGTTGAGCAACACGTACAAGTTGTTCCGGTGGTACATGTAAATGAGCGGAATTTATTCGAGGCCACGTTGGAAAAGCGTTAGTAGTGCTAATCGCGAGGTCGATCGGTTTAACGAAAGAGAGAGAAAGAGAGAGAGAGAGGGAGAGAGGGTTGGGGGTGGGGGAGAGAGAGATAGACAGTGTATATGTGTGAGGGAAAGATACTCGATGCGAATAAACCGACATGGATAAGTCGGATAAGCCGATCGGATAAATTTACGGTTCTAAATCGAAGCCAAAAAGTAACATGAGAGGAAACTAGAGATGTGGTATCAGCAAATATTGACTAAGTCGATAAAGAAGCGAGAGGAACTTGTTCATAATTTTGATCCGATCTCCAATCTTATCCTTTCCTTTTTTTTTCTTTTTTTTTTTTTTTGTTTTCCTTATCTAAACAAATATTATACGTT